GTTTAGGTTGGACATTAGGAAAAAGTTCCTAACTGTCAGGTTGGTTAAACACTAGAATAAATTGCCTAGGGAGGTTGTGGAATCTCCGTCTCTGGAGATATTTAAGAGTAGGTTAGATAAATGTCTATCAGGGATGGTCTAGACAGGATTTGGTCCTGCCGTGAGGGCAGGGGACTGAACTTGATGACCTCTCGAGGTCCCTTCCAGTCCTAGAATCTATGAATCTATTGCCCCACCACAGTTAGGGAACCCCATTGCAGCAAAGCCATCCACTATGGCCTGCACATTTCCCAGAGTCACTACCCTTGATATCAGCAGCTCTTTGATTGCTCTGGCTACTTGAATCACAGCAGCCCCCACAGTAGATTTGCCCACTCCAAATTGATTCCCGACTGACCAGTAGCTGTCCGGCATTGGAAGCTTCCACCGGGCTATTGCCACTCGCTTCTAAACTGTGAGGGCTGCTCTCATCCTGGTATTCTGGTGCTTCAGGGCAGGGGAAAGCAAGTCACAAAGTTCCATGAAAGTGCCCTTACGCATGCGAAAGTTTTGCAGCCACTGGGAATCATCCCAGACCTGCAACACTATGCAGTCCCACCCGTCTGTGCTTGTTTCCTGGGCTCAAAATCGGCGTTCCACGGCATGAACCTGCCCCTTTAACACCATGATGTGAACATTGCTGGGGCCTGTACTTTGTGAGAAGTCTATGTCCATGTCTTTGTCCTCATCACTCTCGTCCCCGCGCTGCCGTTGCCTCCGTGCCTGGTTTTGATTTGGCAGGTTCTGGTTCTGCATATACTGCAGGATAATGTGCGTGGTGTTTACACTGCTCATAATTGTCGCGGTGATCTGAGCGGGCTCCATGATCCCAGTGCTATGGCGTCTGCGCTGAAAAAAGGCGCAAAACGATTGTCTGCCATTGATCTGATGGAGGGAGGGGCGACTGATCACATGGCTTACAGGGAATTAAAGTCCACAAAGTGGGTGGCCTTGCATCAAGGAGAAACACAAACAACTGTCACACAGAATGGCCCCCTCAAGGATTGAACTCAAAACCCTGGGTTTAGCAGGCTGTTGATTTCATGGAGGGAGGGAGGAGCAAATGAATACAAATGAATACAAAACAAATTGCGTCTATTTCTTGTTTTGATCCACTCCATCTATCTTGTACATCTTCGGCTGGCAGCAGACGGTGCAGTATGACCGCTAGCCATCATCATCTCTTGGGTGCTCACCAGAAGACGGTGCAGTCCGACTGCCGGCAGGACTGCGTCTCCAGGAGACAAAACTTAAAAAGGGAATAACCTGGCTCAGTCCCTCCCATGTCTGCCCAGGCGCCCCTGACTGACCTCACTGAGGTCGGCTAAAAGAGCACCCAGGAGTACGACGACAATGTTACCAGTCGTAATGCGCTGTCTGTGACGAAGTGGGGTTATTTTTTATTTTTTTCATGGTTTTCCAGTGGGTTGCATGCAGAGGGGGTGGGACTCAGTGCCCCTGGGTGTTACTGCTTTAACGAGGGGAGGGGAGAGGAAGTTTGTTGTTACACAAGACCAGTGAGGGAACTTGGGACCCCAGCCAATGGCCTGGAGGACGGATACCCCAGCGACTGGTGACCTGACGACCTGAGGACCCAGCTCAGGAGTCACAGCCAGTTCTGGCCAGTGGGAGGACAATGGGCTGTGAAGAGAGGACCCCAGTGACCTAACCAGCCGGTTCCAGACAGAGGGGGCCAGAGGACAGAAGCGAGGAGAGAAGGTCCGGGCGACCAGTTTACGACTCTGTTTACCTGAAAGAAGACAATAGACAGAGGCGGGACCTGGGGCCGGTGATATCAGATGCCCAGCTGGGAAGCAGGAGGGCTCTGGGCTGGAGAGAGGGGGCAGGCCAAACCCACCTGGATGCAGAGAGACTGGGATGTGCTGTGCTGAGGGAGGCCAGGCCTGAGGCCCTGAGAGTTTCCTGTGCTGTGTTCAGATGCTCAATACACCCTCCTGTTTTACGCTGGCTGAGAGTCGCTCTGGTCTAGAGAACAGGGTTGCATCGTCCCCTTCGGGGGGTGGAGGCCCCGGGGGGCCAGAGCGAGTGAACTCCCTGAGGGGGTCTATAGCAGAGACAGGCGTGCTAAGGCTCAGAGAGGTGCCATCCCAGGAGGTGGAGGGGCTTAACCCCTGAGAGAGAGTGGACCCCCAAGAAGGGCTGTCGCACTGAAAGGGGCACCCCCATGGACCGCACCGGGCCATGAGTGGGCACGATCTGTGAGTCCATGACAACGTGGTAGCAGAGGATGGTTGGCGGATGCACCCTATAGATGGTTGGCTGCGGGCGCAGGCGCTTTGCAGTGAGTGGCTGCCAGCGATAGAACGAGGGAATTGAAAGGAACCAGCCTGGAAATGGCCTAGAACCAGCTCTGTAAGGGCAACCTGGCCCGTCTGTGCAGGGAGAGGGGGCTGAGCGTGGGGAGGCTCACTAAGGAGCGGCTGATTGCTCAGCTTGTAGAGAATGACCAGTCTGAGGAACAAGCTCCAGACCCCAGGGGGGCTCCCGGGGAGCCGGGGAGTACCCGTGGGGCAGTCTGTGTAGCGACCAGGAGTCCATCAGGCCCGAATCCCCGGTCGGCACAGGGAGACCCCAGTCAGGTTCCTCCCTAGAGGAGCTGCAGAAACTGGAGCTGGAGCTGAAAGCGAAGGAGCTGGAGCATCGGAGGCTGGTGGACCATACAGAACAGCGGAAGTGCAAGTTGGAGTTGGAGGAGTGGCGGGCCAAGAGGGCCTGCCGGGGGATAAGTGGGGAAGGCCCCCAAGATGCCGGTGTTGGGGGGAGTCTAGACACCAAACTGCTGCCCCAGTTGAAGGAGGGGGAGGGGATATTGATGCCTACCTCACAGCCTTTCAGAAGGCTTGTGATCTGAACCAGATTGACCCCGCAGACAGGCTTCGCTGTCTGAACCCCCTTCTGGGTCCCAAGGCCATAGAGGGATTCAGCCAAATGGATGGTGTTGAGATGGGGGACTATGGCCTGTTCAAACAGGCTTTGCTGCGGAAGTTTGAACTGACCCTCCAGGCGTACAGGAAACGAACCCGGGGTCTGCACAAGACCCCAGGTGTCACTTACAAGGAGGTCACAAACCTGCTGGGGGAATATCTCCGCAAGTGGGGGAAGGTGTAGAACCAATGTGAATGAAATTGTTTTTAAGTTATCCACTGTGCATTGTAACTTCTGTTGCCTACATTGTAACTTTCATTACACTTGCCATTTTGCCTACATTGTAACTTCTGTGCCATATTGTAATTCAAATCCGATTTTAAAACGTTTACTCCGTTTTGTAAGGGCTTGCTGCAACTTTCATTTTTGC